AAAGCTTTTTCTATTTCTCTTATTGATATGAAAACAAGAAGGTACAAAAAAGTCACAGGTATATATGTAATAAAATGCTTTTATTGAAAAAGAATAAGGTTACGCATAAATCTGGACCCGCCTGAAATATCTTGAGCACATTCTTGTTATGAGACTATTGGGTAGATACGATCCATTTTTGTGTCAATGTACAACTACATTCAGATTAATGTTGATAATAATTTAGAGTGCCTATTACGTGCCTCCATTCTATATACTTCATCTAATATTTATAACAAATCTACACAATTTGTGTATGTGGGTTTTTGTTTTTTTTTAACTTCATTTAACAAGTAAGGAAATAGAGACTCAAAGAGAGTCATTTATCCAAAGGTATATAGCTCCTTAGGCTAGATCCGGGTTTCAAATACAGTTTTATCTCAAATAGAAAAAGAAGTTCTTTATCCTGAAGGCGCTATGCCCTGCGGTTTCTCCTCTAAGCCACGTTGGTAACTGAAGTGTGGCATTGTAGGACGCGAGACTCTCGTCCCAGTGCTACTTCCTCGCCTCCTCTGCTTGTGGCCACTGCTTTGCTCTGGAGGAAAGAGGACACACTTTGTGAGATGCCACTAACCCTGAACGGCAAGAGGAGAGATGAAATGGAGCGAGGCGAGAAAAATGACCTGATTTCACAGAAGACGGAGTTCTTAAGAGGAAAGAGACAGTTGCTTGGAGTCGACAGGGAAGTCACGCTGCCCGGTGGGTCACAGCACTGCTGTCGGGAAAGCCTGTGGCAGGGACCTCGGCTCATCTGTGCAGGTCTTAGAACTCCTGGGCTTTGGCCGGTGCTGCTGAACCCCCAGGCACCTGAGCGAACAGCTGTGCTCCACTTCAGGTCGATTACCGCTGGGACTGAGCTCTTGGCATGGTTTAGACATGATGGCTGAATGAAACAAAAAGTGATGTTTTATAAAAACAGTATTTTTATGTAGACAGGATGTTAACTCCATAAGAACCTGGAAGACTCTGCCCTTTCACTTCTGCGCTATCCAACGTTTGAAGAACTTCTGGGCAGAAATGATCCGAGCGCTCTTCCTGAGAACCCAAGGGGTGGCTTTGAGCATCCAGAGCAGAAGTTGGCAGCTTCTGGATCTTTGACCAGATTTGGTCACTGGTGTATTTTGCGTGGCTCGTACAGCTTTAGCTCCACAGTGGCTGGGATTCCAAGCTCTGGACAGATCCTTAGTTCCAGTCACAGTGGGTTTTCATTTCTTCAGGCGGTGACTTTGAATAGAGGTCCCCTCTTTGGACCCAGCCTAGGCTATCCAGTTGGCGGATGCCTAGCCCTCCCTTGAGATCCTGAAGCTCCCTCTGTGTTATCATTGTGCTTCTACTGAGGATTGCCTTCAGGGAGAGCGGAGCCTCCTGGCTCCAGTACAGACCTGTCCTAGACTCGCCCATAGGGATCTCACTCACAACCACTAACAATAGAAAGTACACCCTTACCTTGCTAGTAATCATAGCAGAGTTAACAGGAAAAATAGTCTCTTGTAGCTGTCTTATTTTTCCTAAAGAAATGTTTCAAATTATATTTTTTTTGAAAAAATATTCATTACTTCTATATTGTAATTTTTCCCCTTTTCAGTGAAAAAAAAAAAAAAATCAATTCAGTGGACACAAGTACATTTAAATCCCAACCTGTCAACATCTCATGTGTTTTTACTCTTCTGGGCTTCGAGGATAGTTTTCAATAGCTCAGTCCAAAAGAAAACCAGTAAAAAAGGCAGAAACAGTAAAAACCTACTGATGAAGGATTTTGCAGAGAGGCATTTAATTGTCACTACCTGTTTGATTCAAGAATTCGTAAATAAACAAAACGAAACAGCAGAAGCAGGCCATTTATCCGGGTCACTGCCAGAGCAGAGTTTTGCCTGGGTGATGGGTAAGTATGGCTGGTAGACCGATAAACAACATTTTTTGATTTCTGAAAATAGATTTTTCAGGCTTCTTATTGGCTATTGAGTAATTCCTGTGCAGGTTAGACTTCACTGTGACCGAATGAGTAATCTCTCCAGGAAGCAGTGCAATCACTCATCATTTATCACCCTCCACCGGGACAGTTTCAGTATGTATAGATCGGTGGTGAGTATGGGTTTCACGTTATGAAATGCAATGACTCATGTACTGGGTTTGATATTTACAAAGAAATATTGGACCTGCTGACAGCTTTTAAGGGGCTGTCTGAATATGAGTCAATCAAAAATCATTTTACAGACTAACAACACTACATATTGGTAAATGTTGGTATTAATATTGGTAAATATTAGTATAATGACATTAGTGAACTTTATTTTGCATAGAAAAGAAAGTCCATTCATGAGAAGGTCATCATTTCTTTCTTATCCCCACTCTGAGAAATAGGTAGACAGAGGAGAAAATTGAGTGTCTAAGAGTTTGGGACTTCATATCACAGAACTAGGAAACAGGGAATCTGGGGAGCAACTCAGGAATTCTGACCCATCTGAGGGTCTTTGCATGACATCTTGCTGCATAACATTAAGGAATAATAAATCCACTGGGCTGTTGAGAAGAAAAGAGATATGTGTACCCCCAAATATGACTGCAGTTGTTGTTTTCTGTACCTGTTCTTAGTTATAGACTATAAAGAAATACAAAGTGTCATTATTATCGCTTTTACTTCATCGGTACTGGGGGATCTGCAAATTGGTTTAGACAGGACATTTCGGTTGAGTGGAGCTTTTCTGTCTTTATTAGGAATGAGTCTGAGAGTTTCTCTGATAAAATGCAGAACAGCTGCTCACTTCTGGGAACTACTGACAGCCCACAGTCACACCTGATAAGAAATCAGAAAAGGAGTAACTTACTTTGAGCAGAAGTGTCATGCATTAGCGAGGAGGCTACAAGCAGAAAATGCACAAGTTGTAGGTGTTTGAAACAAATTGACTCCAGCTTTAAAATCCTACAATCCAGGGGCAGATATATGGCAGTATCAGTAAGAAGAGAGAGAGCTGTACCTGTGAGCAGAAAAACAAGAGAGTGATAAAATTAAACATATTCATAGGGCACGTAGAGGAAATGATCAAAATAACCACCAAAGAACAGTAAAGTCTAAATCTCACTCTTTTTTCCCCTTCCGGTGATATGCTGACATTGTTGCAACCTCACAGCAGTACTTTATAAAACTGTAGATCTCTTGGATTGGGCAATAAAGAATCCTGGTAATGCCCTGGCCGGTCTGCTAGTGGTTAGAGCGTCGGCCTGCGGTCCAGAGAGACCCGGGTTCGGTTCCCACTAAGGGCACGTACCTCGGTTGCAGTTTGTCCCCGGCCCTGGTTGGGTTGTGTGGGTGGCAACCACTCAATGTGTCCCTTTCACATTGATGTTTCTCTCTCTCTCTCCCAGTCCCACTCTATCTGAACAAAAAATGGGAAAATGTCCTCGGGTGAGGATAAAACAAAAAAAGAATCCTGGGTCTTCCAGAGAGCAGTGCCCTTGTGCGGAAGAGGAACTCACGGTGCCCGATGCAAGCAAACTACTAGAAAGTCTAGTAAGCAGACATGAGCATCTAATATTTCTAAGCTACTTCTTCATCTGTAAAATGAAATAACTCAAAGCGCCATTTTGAGGAATAGAGAGATAAATACCAAAATGCCTCAAAACTAGCTAGGGTTAAATAAACTGGAGCTACTATTTCTTTCCACACATGCTTCCCTAAGCTACAGCATGTGGTTTAAATAAGGGAAAATGATGACAAAATACCATAGAGGAGTAAAAGGATCTCCATGTCCGGTGAGAAGGGATTCAGTGAAGTCTGCCTAGCATTGCCTAGCTGGTGTAACTGGAGCAAAACCAGGCCTTTTTCCTTCCAAAGTCCCTGCTATCCTATTCTGCTACACAAGGAGATGATCTCTGAGCCACTGAAAGGTGGTAATTGCCTTTGCTTTCAAGTTTCTGAGTTGAGCCTTACTCATCCCTCCTTCTCTTCCTGCACTGGTCAGAGGCATGGGTGGCCATGCTACAGAGCCCGGGCACTCTCCAGGCGAACCCAGGACCAGGGCTGCTTCTAGTTTCCCCATCACAGCCTCATCCTGCATCAAGCCAGCATCAGATCCTGACTTGAAGCCCCTTTGGTGAGGAAACTTTGCATCATACTTCAAGGTGCAACACGGGTAGTAAACTCACTAATTCAAAGCCGAGGGAGGAAACACAGCCAGAGGAGATGCTGGGCTTGCTGCAAAGGAATCTTTAAAAAACAGAACAAAAAACCTTTTCTTGGTCGATATGTGGGAGGAGAGAATACTCAAGTAAATATGGTAGGTCTGTAATATGAACCTGGTGTCTCCAGGGAAAGTTCTTCTGTTTGTGGCCCCTGGGCAAGAATTTAACCCATCTTTCTTCCACATTTCTCCCTCCCAGACTTGGCTGGAATCCCAGACAGAGGGCGTGTGTTTTTGTTAACCCCTCCTCTGCCGTTCTCTGGCGGCTGGCGTGCCCCTGGTAGGCTCCCTCTCCGCCCAGGGTCTACCCTGTGCCTGGCTATGGGGGGCTAGCTCCGGGGAATAGGTAGGTAAGGAGCACGGGGCCTGCCAGCCTTCAACAATCCAGCCAGTGTCCCCACCGGACAGCTAGTTTCCTGGAGGTGGCCCGACTCGGTTTCCTAGTCTAAGGGTGTGAATGAAAGCCCAGGGTTTAATGACGAAAGTCACTGGAGTGCCCGAGCTGTGTGTGCACAGTCACGCAGTAAAGCTGGGATCCCAGGGCAGCTGAGACTTGCAAGAGCTGCAGATGTGGTCAGTGGAAATGAACTCTCAATTGAGCTCCGCAGCACGTGACTTCCTATTTCTGTAAGGTACTTCCAAGGGACTTCCTCTGCAAAATCAGCCCGATTCCCCGGAGATTCTTTCCGCGCCGCAGCGAAGTTGACTTCCAACTCTAGACAGAAGTTTGCCCTGAGCTATGGTGTCAGTTTCTTTTCTTTCTCTTTGCTCTGCCGCTGCCAGCATGCAAGGATCTGGTGGCTCCCGTCCGTGATCGGAAGCTGAACACCCTGGTGCAGATTTCGGTGATCCACCCCGCGGAGCAGGGGCTGATAAGATACTGCAGCACGGAGATCGTGGAGGTGAGCAAGCGCGCGTCTGCGTTCCTGGGGCGCGTTCCTGGGGCGCGCTCCTCCTCTGGATTTCAGCGAGCGGAGGAACCCGGTGGCCTGTGGCTGTGCTGTGTCACTGCCCTCTATCACTTAGGAAAACATAACCCGAGGTTATTCAGCATGCACTGGTCACTTCCCAGATTAAACAAATGGGGAAGAACTTGCCTGTTTCATACAAGACCTTATTTTTACTTAGTGAATAGAAAGAGAGATCCCCACTTTAAATCCTCCAATAGAGTTGCAAATAAAGGAGGAATCTCTCTCTCTCTCTCTCTCTCTCTCTCTCTCTCTCTCTCTCTATATATATATATATATATATACACACATATATATATGCATACACACACACACATGCACACACATATAAATTTTAAATTAAATGGAAAGAATGTTTATTTTGGAAAGGAAAAGAAAGGCATCGAGTACCCAGAGAAGTTTTAAACCTGTTCAATATCTTTTGCCCTTTTCATTCTTTCCTGTTTTCTTCACTCTGTGGAAACTATATTCTCAGCCATTTGTGTCTGCCTTTTTAACGGACAGTGTTTTCCAGAGAAAGGTAGATGATGATTTTGAAAAACTGCAGTGTTGCTAGGCAAAAGGTGTAAATGTTACTCATCACAGGACAGATTTCCTATTTACATTTATTGTTTCTAATAGAGCATTCAGTATGTGTCGGGAGGAAACTTGTTATTGTGTTGGATCAGATTCAAAAGAGGAAGTGTTTCCCTTTTGATTATTTTGTTCCTATCACACATATTTAACAATGTGAATGGATGAGTGAGAGTTTATAACACCTGGGACTAGAGAAAGGGGGCAGTGAACTCCCTCAGAATTGTCTGCTTTCTTCGTCCCCCTGAGCCCTGTCTGTTTTGAATGAGGAGTTTCTCTGTAGGAACCAACCTCAGACCAGGCTCGCTCAGGCTGACCTGTCTGGATGCAGTTGGTGGAAGAGATGATTCAGACTGAACCCTGGTCATCTCTCTGATGGCAGTGACCCACGCCCGGCACACATCCCTGAGTCTGCCCTGTGGAAACTTGGCGTTCCAGCGCTGGTATAATTTGTAATGAATGCTGTAGTTGAACAGACAAAAATAGTCGTATTCATATAAAGAAAACTTGATTGAAATTGTAAAACAGTTCATTTATATGGAAAAAAAAAATGTTCTAAGTATTATTCCAACTGAATTATTTTTTAAATATTGTCAGAATTTAAAGGAAATTATTATTTATTTTTTTAAAAATATGTTTTTATTGAAATTATTTTCAGAGAGGAAGGGAGAGAGAGACAGAAACATTGATGTGAGAAACATCAATTGGCTGCCTCCTGCACGCCCCCTACTGGGGATCAAGCCGAAACCTGGGCATGCGCCCTGACCAGGAACCAAACTGGGACCTCTCAGTCCATGGGATGACACTCAATCCACTGAGCTACACCAGCTGGGCAAAAAAAGAAATTATATATTTTGACACACTTCAAATTTTTATATTTAAATATATACAGTTGAAGTCTTATTCACTTCCTGTTCTAACGTGTCTGCCACGGTGAGGAACAGAAGTAGTATTTACTGAATAAAGAGAAGAAAGAAAGAATGAATAAGTGAATTACTTGGGCTTTCAGAAACTTCCATAGATAACTGGTTTGCAAAACTCTAGCAAACATCTCAATAGTATTCAGCAATACAGGGTGGGGCAAATGTAGGTTTACAGTTGTGGTGCATGAAACAGATGGTTTTTATGTTCTTATTTATTAGTTGTTGTATTATTTTTTCATACAAACAACTGTAAACCTACTTTCTGTCCCACTCTGTATAGAGATTTCAATATAGATATAAAATTGAATGTTGGATGTCAGCTCCTACCAATGAATTCTGAGACTGAGATCTTCTGTGTACTTTATTCTGAGCTAGTTATTGCATAACCCCAAATCCATTATATTAGTTTCTTTCATTCGTTTTCTCATCAGTCTGAGGAAGAAAACACAGCTGAACATCTAAAAACACATGGGCATGATCAGAACATGGCTTTCAATGGATTCATTGCAGAAAGGAAATGAACAACACAAGCTTCCCAAGTGGTTCTTCATGAGAAAACTGCTTCATCTCAATGTGATCAGTCAATATCTTAGCTTAGATGCATAAATTACAGGGTATAGCTATTAAATGTATTCTAAATGGACTGACAGCTGACCCCAAAGAAGGATTCTGCATATGATGAAAATGAAAATAAATTGGTTCTCAAGACTATTAGCAGCTCTAACAAGGAAGCAGGACCATTTACTATCAACAGCTGTATCAGTACTTGGGGCCATGGGCCATGCTGTTGCCTCTGAGCATTATTTGGAAATTCAGCTCTTTCTTTATAGAACCATTTCCTGGAGAAACAAACAGACCCAGACACACTTTCTGCATTCTCGTGTTGCTACATGCTGCCAACGGCAGTTGCTGCCTTATTGAATCAAAGTTGTCTGCCTGTGCTGTTACAGGGAACAAGGGACCCACTGTTTCTGACGGGTGTCACATTCCCATCTGAGTATCCCATCTATGAGGAGACCAAAATAAAACTCACAGTCTATGATGTCAAGGATAAGTCTCATGATACTGTAAGTATTTGCACTTCTTTCTTTCTTTGGGAAAAGGAGTTATGCTTTTCCAAACTATTGTTTTTTTGTTATGTTGAATTTTTTAAAAAACATAACTGGCATTTGTACTGCGTTGATGCATGTCTTATGTTTATAGCTTGCTAGGATTATTTTTTTCAAATTCATTTGGCTTACTGCCAAATGGGCAATTGGGTGAGAGCAAAAGCTTCCAGAACAGATTTTTGACTTTTTTCGGGAAGGCTGGCTTGATCTCTTGGTTTATATATTTTTGTTGTTGTTGTTGTTGTTTTAAGAAGTTGCAGAAGGAGTAATACTGTGGCTAGAATGTGAGTGGAAGAAATTAAATACTGGTTCAGAACTGTCTGGAATTTGTAATTACTCTAAAATGTGATCAGCAAAGTGTTCTACTTTGGCAGTGTATTCTTTCACATTCTATAGAGAGAGAGATTTTCTCTATTTCCTGAAGTTTTTCCTGGAACCAAAGCTAACAGAGAAGATGATGGAAACACTAGGCAGAAGCTTTAATTGTTCTCTTTCCATGAAAGTCATATAAAGTCCCAATGGGTATTTTGTCTTCCTTTCATCAGTCTTCCTACCTGGTCTGAATTTTCCTCCACTTGAACCAGACCTCCTGGGTAGACACTTAAGTACCCAGGCACTATCTCTGGAGGCCTTTCTTAAAATTTCTTGACTGGAGAGAATGTTATTGGGTAGGCATTGACAAGGGGGGGATTTAAATGAGCTTTCTCCTTTAAGTGTCTCCCTTTAGTATGACTTTTAGTCTGTTTTCAAGGCAGGAGTCTTGGTGGTCAACCATGAAGCACAAACCAAGAGACACTTTGAAAGCAGGTGGGCCAGTAGGTTCCAAGAGAATTCTGGATGAAGTTCAGGGATGCTGTGGACCTGGGGAATCACACAGCACCTGCTCGTGGGGAATCTTGACCTTGAACTATGCCTCTACTTAGGCATTTCTTTCTTACTCCTGCCTCTTTCCTTTCCATTCTTTACCACAAAATATATAACATAGACAGTGGGGATATTTAATAGAGAAAAACAGTATTTTATATTGAAGGAATTTCTACTCATCTCAGTCCCAGAAAAGTTCATTTCTTTAAAGTTGCAGAAAAAAATACCCAATTAAATGCACAGCATATATGTGCAATAGAAATAGTTACCGTGGTCTGGTACATCTATGAGGAAGGCCGACTGTCTGGTTCCTGTTATATTTACTAGCTTTGTGACCCTGGGGGAGTTAATTCCCAATGCCTCTGTTTCTTCATTTATAATATTTACCTCATGCGGTTGTTATGTGGATTAAATAAGTTAATGTAGCCAAAGTAGTTAGAAGACAAACGGTTACAGATTCATCAATAAGGGTCAGTCGCTGCGTTTATTGTTGTTATTGTTCTGGAAGCTGCCTCACAGTCCCTCCTAAGCAGTAAAATCAAACGAAGCCATATTAACGGAAATCTTTTTCTTTATTCGCTAACTTTGTTTTTCTCCTAACTGGTACTAATTATGTTTACTATTTGTGACTTCCTTGAAGAAAAGGGGAAAGAGAAAAAATATGTTGCAACACAAAATTGGGGTTCAGACTGTCAACTCAAAAAGTATTTTCTTGAGCATTTTTTTTTCCTATCCGTTTCCCTTGATGTTGAGGTCACACGTGGAGAAGGAGTGGACTGATCTGGACCAGGTGCACAGGGCCATGTGACTGATGGCTGTCCTTTCTTTCCTGGCCTTCTGCCAGGGAAGAGAGAGAAATGAGGAGAACAGGGAAACTCACAGAGCTGGGAAGGAGAGAGATGATGCAAAGGGCGGCGGAGGAGGTGATGTAACTGTGCAGAGTGTAATGCACAGAGAAACAATCAGGGTGGCCAGGATAGCAAAGCCGCAACTATGGGGTTTATGTGCTTCCAAGCACGTGATCAGACTCAGGCTTACCCACAGACCCAAGGCTAGACGGCACAGAGGATATGGAAGGGACAGAGTTTTTGTGCTAAAGGAATGAAAATAGTGCCCCTAAGATCTTGGGCTTAATACGTTTTCAGAAATAGCGGTGTTAGAAATATGGAACACCAAAGGTATTTCTACCCCTTCAGCCTCTCATTTACAATGTGCGTGTGTGTGAATCTTTAGGGGTAAATAATTAGCTTACTCATTAGTGCTGCTTTGTGTTGCCTTCTATTTCTGGAAACTCATTATTTAGGGTCTTTTAAAGACTTTCTTCCTTGATCATAGGTATTATCACATAAGAGTGCTGGATGAACTGTAGTCCCCGCTGTGAAATGAGACTTGGGAAACTTGATCAAACTTGAGAAATGCAACCAGCTTTCACTTACCAAGTGCTGTTAATTAAGGCACAGCCTCTTCTTTAAAATAACTTACAATTAGCTCCAGTGATGGACATGCAAATAGGAACACAGTTCATTAATTGGCTAATAGTCCCCACGGACACAGACTTTTCATCCTGGCGCTTTTTCTTGTGTCTCTGAAGTTTTTCTTTGCGGTGGAGGGGGGTGGAGAAGGGGAGGCAGGAAGTGGGTTTAAAGTAGTTTATAATTATGAACACTTAATACATAAGTATTTTAAGATCCTAATATTTTGAAAGCTTAAGAAATGAGATTATGAATATTTACGTGTTTTGGAAAACTAATGCATCGCGTGCATGTATTTCAAAGTCGCTTTCATATTTGCTCCTGGTAACCATGGATTGTATTAGGCTGACCAGGACCGCGAGGTCTTGGATACTAGCTGAATTCTAGTTAGCTGAGTCAGATGACTAAGTTGCTTGCCTTTTCCTCCTGAGTTTGTGGTTACTTGCAGTTAACCAGTGAAATAAATTTGTTACTTTGCCATTTCTTATTCATTTACACACATATGACTAGTAGATATATTTAAAGAGAAATGACCACCTGTCGTTTGTGCCCGTGATGGAGCCATGACCTAACTGGTTGTTGTTCTTGTGTTCCTCTAAACAACGGGACCTCAGATTGATTATTTCACTAAGGTTAGTAGAAAAGCAGTTAATCACTGGGGCAAACGAGGAGTCTAACTGTTGACTCAGATGGCTATTGCTCCCTCATTGCGGCACTGGGGAGGTGGGGGTGGCGGTGATGGGGCCCCGATGAAAATCAGGGTGACTTTTTTTATTACTTTCCTCATCATGAGGAAATTGTCTGTTTTCTGAAAATGGGCTAATCTAACACCCAGCTGCTTGGTGGGGACTTCAAAGCTTGACATCGGTGCCCATGGTGAGGTCTGAGAACCTGAGTTCTCACTGGGCAGCCGGTGACTTCTGGATACGCGGGTTGTGTGCTCTATTTTAAAGCCCAGCAGGGCAGACAGAAGTGTTTTCAGCCCATCATGTCCAGTGTTCAGCTCTAGGGAATCAAGTTGAGCCTTTCAGAGGTTACAGAAAAAAATCTCAGAGGAAGGAGAAATTGTTGGAGGAAAAGAATATCAGCATCAAAGTGGTGTCTTGTCCCTTCTTCCCCTGCAGCCGGTGTTTGGGGAGGGAGAGGACAGGCTCTTCCAGCACCCAGCGTAGGGCCGTCTCAGCCTGCAAGGCACGGTTGGGTCACAGACTAGTTTTGCCCGTGGTAGAGATGGGAATTTCTAATGCATTTCGCAGGAGTGCACATGGCTCCATTTCTTTGGCTCTTGGGGTAAAGATATCTCCAACTTGTCTGGTGTTCAGCTTAGGGGACAGAATCCCATGTCCAGTAGACACTGAACATTTCTCAGGGGAGGATGTATGTCCTAAGACACGATTTTACTGTCATTTACTAGCAAGTCCCCCATTTGCGCCATTCAGAAAACGTGATCGCATCAAGATCAGATGTCTGTTTATTGCACTGTGTGTATGTGCCCAAGGCGGTTGAATTCTAGTACAGTCCCCCCGCTGCAGGGTTCAGTCCCTGGCCCTGGGCAGGTCCTGCAGGAGGCAACCATCCATGTGTCTCTCTCACACTGATGTTTCTCTCCCTCTTTCCTCCCTCCCCCCCTCTCCCCCCCTCCCTCCCCCCCTCTCTCCCTCCCTCCCACTCTGTCTGAAGATAAGTGAAAAGATATCCTCGGGTGAGGATATCTTTTTATTGTTGATTTCTAAGAATTTATATATGTGGATGTAAATGCTTTTGTTGACTATCTGTTTTACAAGTGTTTTTGCTTTTATTTTTTGGTTTGCTTTATAATTTCCTTAATGATATATTTTGTTGATCAAAAATTCTAAATTATGACTAATTCAGTTTATTTATTTTTTATTCATAGAGCTTTTGTGCCTTAAGAAATCTTTCTATCACAGGCCATTAGACTATTCTCCAGTGTCTTCCTTAAGAACATTTTGTAGTGCTAACATTTGCAATGAAGTATAAGATCCATCGCAAATTAATTTCTGTGATGGGAATGAGGTAAGGATCAAAGTTATTTTCCCCTATGAAAGTATCTAGTCTTATAGCACCACTTGTTAAAAATACTTTTTCCTCCACTCATATAGTTGCTGCCTTGATTGGAAAATCAATTGCCTACTGATACTTGTGGGTCTATTTCCAGATTGATCTGTCCTAGTGATCTGTTTGTCCAGCTTTGTGACAATAACATGATTATTGTAGCTTTATAGTAAGTCCTGAAGTCAGATAACTTAGGTCCTCTCTCTTTGCCAGCTTTGTTCTTTTCATCAAGGTTTTGGTTCTTTTGTTTTTGTTTTGCCTATTCTGGAAACTTTGTTTTTCCTTATACATTTTCAAACTGATTGTCAATTTCTTCAAAAAGCCTGTTGGAAGTTTCTTATTAGAATTATGTTGAATCTGTAGATAAATTTGGAGAGAATGGGCATGTTAACAATATGTAATCTATTGATCTATAAATATGGTAGATATGTACAATTTCATTTATTTAGATCTTTAAATTTTGTGTTCAGCAATGTCTTTGTGTTCTGATCATTTGTGTTTGGTCCTAGTATTTTTCAGACTTATTTCCAGGTGTGTTTCTTTTTTGTG